ATATATATGGAAGACACTACAAAATGCCTATAGGAAACAATGAACAGTGATTTCGTCTACCCGTATCACCTCCAAAGTTTATCGTACGGTCACAATTATCCGGTAGTGTTTTATTTTTCATTTTTTTTTTCTATAAATCAGAATGACCTAAAATTTGGAGCATGCATTCAGCAAAAATAGGCGAATCTATGAAAAATATCAAAACAATATTTTATATGAAATCATTTGACCAAAATACTCTTTACATTTTTGTTATATTTTGGTCAATTATTTTTTAGCGAATTATATTTTTTATATTTTTATTAAGTGTGCCTTATTAAGATGTACACACTCTCTAAATTTCAAATAATTCTGATATATAAAAAAATAAAAATAAAACACTACCGGATAATTGTGACCGTGTGATGAACTTTAGAAGGTGATGAGGGTAGGCGAAATCATTGTTCATTTTCGCTTATAAATGTTTTACACCAAGATTACACCATATGATAAAATTTGATAGTGCACCTTACTTTGATTGTTTAAAATTGCAATCTTATGTAAACCACACAAAAAAATTCTAATTTATTTTTAACAAAATTCAAATCACGTGTTCTACACGTAGATTTTACTAGCTTAACATGCAACATCTACATAACAAGATCCCAAATTGATCAAACCGTTCTACCTTCTGAAATAGACAAACCCAAATACTTTATAGAAAATTGGCCATTTTACCGCCACACAAAACTGGGCTACTAACGCAATTCCATATCAGGTCAACGCCTATCAGTTTGATCTTGTCAAATATTTACATTTTTTAGTAAACAAAACGACTTCAGAACATCTAAAAAATCTCCCCAAAATAACTGATGCATCACAAAAAAATTAAAATATCATTTGACACATTAAAGGTCAGAAATATTTGGGGCACCCCTTGAAGCCTTGACACCTGTAATAAATACTTGTTCATGTACCACACCGCTTTTAATTTACATTTTGGACGATTTACCACATTTTAAATTACACTTAACTGAAATAGAAAAGAGATTACAGGGTAGAAAGCACAGAGGGCTTGAAGACCACGTGAGAGAGAGCACGTGACATCATATGCCTTTGTCAGGGAAGAACGGCTTATGTGGCAGTGGTATAATAGGAAATTGATACAGAATAATGAGGACAATTTGGGCATTGCAATTTCTTAGGGGGGCGTGATACTAGGGCTGAAGCTCCCTCCCTGTAAACTTACGGGCGGGTATAAAGATACATCCTACATTCTCAGTGCACGTACCCTTTGCACCCCATCTCTCTCTCTCTCTCTAACTTTCTCTCTCTACATCTGTTTTGCACTCTCCCTTTCTCTTTATCTTTCTCTTTCTACATCTGTTTTACGCTCTCCCTCTCTCTCTCTTACCTCTTTTTTATTTTTTTTATTTTTTTTATTTTTTTTATTATTGGCACTTTCCTCTCCCCGTCTCTTTTTTTATTGTTTTGAGCTCTCTTCTGTTACTTTTCGAGTTCTCTCCCTTTCCTTTTGTTTTTTATTTTTTACTGTATCTGCTTTGCTGTGTGATTCATTTTCAGTTTTTCTCTCTATTTCTCACAACTGTTTTCGGCTCTCTTTCTCTAGAGTTATCCATGTCTTCTTCTACTGAAAACGGAGAAGACAGTGGTGAAGAAGAAGCAGTGGCTTCGACTTCTCGGTTGGAGACGAGGCGAAGGGTTTCTGCATCTTCGGCTGCTCGACTGATAGCATCCACAAATGGAGTTTGGCCTGAACCTTTCGTCGAATCTCTCGCTGTGAATGTTGCTATGGAAGCGTATAATAGCGTTGGTCCATTAGCAGCTGGTCCGGCCCTCGCAAACCTATTCATGGTGAGTAACTGAGTATTCTCTCTCTCTCTCTCTCTCTCTGGAGATCTCTCTAATCAGAACACTCTCTTTAACAAGTTTTCTCTCTCCGTTTTCTACCAGTTCTTGACCACTATCTCTTACTGTTATCTCGCCCGCCTTATTTCGTTCTGATAGTTAAAGAAAAAATACTGTCTTGCTTTCTCAAATTTATCTCTTTATGTTTCCATATGATAATGGAGAAGATGGGGTTTCTCTCTCTCCCTCTCTTCATCATTCCAATGAACCAGTAATATCTCTCACCTCCTTTAGATAATCAAAAGGGAAAGTCCTTTCCCTTGCACTTTGTCAAAAGAAGAATCTCCCCCTCTCTCTCTCGTCGTGTTTCCTAAAGTAGGTCATGTCTTCTCGCCTCTTCCAAAGCGGGTTTGGGGGAACTTACATTTGGCATCTCGTTGTACTTTCCTGCTGCTCCCCTTTTTCTACACCCTTCTCCTTTTCTATTCTCTGCATCTCTAATGCAAAACTCCATTTTCATTCGATCTCAAAGGTCTCCTGTCTCTCAGTGCTTAGCTTCTGTGTACAGATATGTGTCCACCTATCAAATCAGTCCCTATTTTGGACCCATTTTTCAATTTTCTCTCTCTAGACATCAATAATATGAGCTCTTTCTGTCCCTCTCTCTCTCTGACCATCTTCTGTTTTTTTGATTCGTCCTCATTTTATACACAAAAAAAAGGCTCCTGGTCCTATCTTTGAATATATTGACTAGTGTTTCTAGCTTTCCATAATGAAACTAATGTTACATCTTGGCGAGAATCTTACACTGTTTATGTTTCTCTATCTATATCACTTTCTATTAATTAGATTGTTTATTTATGCCGTTTTATTTTGTTGTTATGAACCATAAAGTGTAGTTGATATGATATTTAGTGGTTAATTAGATTTCTTTGTTTGGAATGCATCCTGTTTTTTTTAGTAGAAATTGACGTGTGATTGATGGAAAATTTATTGATGTTGATGGATTTTGTTGTTTTTATGGGCTTTGTTTCCATTTTTGGGATCACATATACTGGTTTAAATAAGTACTATGTTTTCTTATTAGAAAATTGATTGAAATGACTTCAATTAACCAATTCAATACCCAAACATACTCTCTGTCCAACTTATGCAGAGTGGTCAAATCCCCAAAGTTTATCTTCATTATCACATCCTCTGTCAATTGTTCAAGATACCCTTTCTTTAAAAGAGACCATTATTTCCTTGTCTATCAGTATATTAAAGTTGAACTTATGTACATGTATATGATATCTCTCTCTTTCTATCACACACATAAAAAGGATGGTCAAAGTACCATAGTCGAAATAATTGCCATAAATTCCTCCATTTGGAATCCCTCTACAATCCAAAGTTCAAATTTTCTAGGCTGTATTTTCTTGTTAAAATGCCTGAAGCATCTCATGTCCCTCTTGATTGTCCTTATTATGCCCCTTAAGCTATTGCAAATCTTATATATCATAAGATTAATGCATGTTGTAGGCAAGAAGCTTGGGCAGAAACTGACTGTGTCAGGCAATAGAATTCGCGGCGCTTGATTCTCAAGCTCGAGTCCTACAAACGTCACTCGATTTTCAGGCTCGATTTCTACAAACGCGAGATCTCTTCCCCCACTAAGCTATAAAAAAAAATTTAAAAAAAATTTTAGAGTCAAAAAGATTAATCCACATCATTACAAAACACCTGGGAGAGATTTGAGGTCCTTTCAATCCTTCTCTCAGCTAACAGACTATCCCATCTTTGTGTTTAATATTTATACAAAATCTTTGTTCAAGTGTGTTTTTTTGGATATTAGAGAAAATGAGAGGGAGAAAGATTTGGATGGAGGGTTTTATGAGATAAGTAGGAGATTTGTGGAGGATATTTTGGGGTTAGCTGATTATCCCAATATTTTACTAAACATTATTGGACCACAATAGCGTGACTGGTAAGAAGAGAGAGAGTGTTAAAGGAGAGAGAGGAACTGACAGTTCCTTTGGAGTTGGCTTTTTGCGGTTTATTCGTGCCTTGTATTTGGACGCGTCTTTGATCTATTTTTCCCTTTTTTTTTCTTTCAAAATTTTATCCCTCGGAAAAGAGGCATGGCGTCGCCTCTTTCCCATGAGGAATAGCGGCACGCTGCCCACCTCCGGCACCCAATCTTTGACTCTCTGTCGCTTTGTTCATCCCCTTTCTGTCTCTCTCTTCATCTCCAAGCCGTTACAAGAAGGCTGCGTCTCTCTGTACCTTTGTCTTTTCCTTGCAATGCTTCCTCTCTTTTCAAAATTGTATTCCACCCCTCAATTTTATTCTCTTCACAGTGTTAACAAAACCGGCCGGGTCTTGGACTCGGCCGGTTATTCGGAATCGTCAAGGGCAGTAAGGCCAATTGGTTTGATCACCTTGACTTGAATATAAAATAAATAAAAATTTAAAAATTTGTTTGTAACAGAATTTTTAATGTTTTTTATTATTTTGAAAAAGATTGGGAAATATTTTGATCATGAATACTCATTTTAATTTTTTTTTTATTTTTTTGAATTAATATTTATAGACACATTGATTTTTTAAAATTTATTTTTTTAATATTTTTAATCTCATTCGGATGTATTTGTTTAATTATATTTTCAATATAATTTTTTTTTTATGTTTTTGAGTGTTTTTATGGGTGCAGTTTGTATAGAGCTTAGGTTCTAAACAATCAAATTAGAGCCTATGTAAAATAGTATCGAGAAATGTGGTTTCAATACTGAAAAGCTTTGTGATAGCTTTAAAATATATTTTGATCTTTATTTATAAAGTTTAAAGCTTCAAAAAATAGTGTAGATCGGCATATCTATGAAAACTTGAAAATATTGTAAATTAACCCAAAAATACGTTAGAAAATATACTATTTTCAAAACTTGAAATCTATTTTTTCCCACATGATTGTGCATCTTGGTGTCGAGATGATCAATTCGAGGATATTTGGGCATCAAAACAACCCTTTTTAGTGAAATTTTTGAGATAGGCTCTAATTTGATTTTTTAGAGCCTCAGCTCTATATAAACTTTTCTTTTTTTTATTTAGCTTTTTTACGATGTTTAGCCCAATATGGACCTAACCCTGAGAAGAACGGTTTCTCATTCCGGTTCTGGCCAATGGCCGGATTCCTGTTCAGAATGGAGCACTGCTATCTCTCTCTTGGCCCAACGCAATCCTGAATTTTCTCGCTCTAATTATTAAGGAAACAGCATTCTTTTGACTGTCTCTCTCTCTAGATTTGTAAGTGTAGTTACAGTGTACTTTCTCTCTCCGTAGGATAAAAGCCGAAAATCGCCGGCCTTTTTGTCCCTTCGAGAGCGGCTGCCAAAGGACGATAACGACCCCGGTTCCAAGTACACTGATCCTTTTTGCTGGGCCGCTCCAGCACCACCCACCAAATTAATGTTCATCTTTCCAAAGTTACCCCTATCTCTCTTTCAAAATGACCTATGCTGCCCTTCCATCATTTTTCCCCTTCACCATCTAGTTAACTGCAACAAAACTTTCCAATGCACTACTGCCACGTCGGCGTCTTTTTTTTCTTTAAATTCGCCGAAACTTTTACTGCTATTTTGGCAGCAGAAATTTACTGATATTTTGGAAGCCTTATTAACCCCTGTTTATGGGCCAAAAAAGGGTCTCATATTCCTGAAAATTGTGGCGCTCATGCTCAACGGTATTTCGGCACACCTGGTCGAAGTATTTCGAATCTCACTGACCGACATTTCGCCTGTCGCTATCCTGACTCCAAAAATTTCACCTGCAGGTATGCTCGACCTGGCGCAGCGTCTCCACCTCCGAAACCCTATGGCGAGTCCTCTGCTCCAATGTGTGGGGTTTCAGCACCCTAACCCGGGCCTCTTGGCGATCCGAATATGCGTTCAGACATCGAACCGCGTCCAACTTCCGCAATCGCCAGTCGCGCCACTTCACCCTCCAGCTCGAGCCCACCTCGCCTGCCTCCACGCCCACTTGCCGGCGCATCGGTCTCTCTGACCGCTACTTGGCCCTAGGCTTCCTTGATGGCTCAGTCCGAGCCTTTGATTTACGCACTCGAGCCCATCTTGGGTCGTATTGTCCAGCCCACTCGGATCGACTGGGCCCGTACTCCCGAGCCGTGTCTGGGCTCGTCATAGATAATGATCGACTCGTGTTTGCCTTGTTGGATGGGAATGTTTATGAGGGGGATATTTCGGGCTGGGTTTTCCGGCGAGTTTTGGCTGGAAACGTGGTGGATAACGGCACATGCGTTGATTTTAACGGTAACGGTCGATTTTGGGTGGGGCTTTTTGCTGGGGTGCCCGGTCGAGCCGTCAGGGTTTGGGATGCGGTAACGGAGGAGACGCTATTTGTTGGGGGTGATCTGACGGACCCAGATGCTGTTCGTGGGTGGCGCCTCCTCACCGAGCCGCACCGGACCCTGGGGCGCGTGCGAGTGGGCGCTGGTGGACTCGTGGTCGCCTGCACCGAGTCAAGAGTTTCGGTAGTTTTCGGCGCCGAAGACGAAATTTACGAAAGCTTCGGAGACTTCATGGTTGGGTGTTTCGACGCTCATGGCGAAAGGTGCCTGGTCGTGTCTAGAGATGAGGAAGCTACAATCAGGCACTTGCCGGACCTGAATCGCACGTGCGAGTTTGAGGTGGAGGGGGTTGCCACGAATGAGGCATTGGGTTGCATGAATTGGACTCAGGGTTTTGTTTGTTCGGAGGGGGTAATAGGCACGTGGGATCTGAGGAGTGGCGAGAATTTGTATCATTTCAGGGAGGATTTAGGTGAGGCCACGGCCATTGTGGCGGATGATTTACATGTGGCGGCGGTTACAACAGACGCGTTGCTTCATTTGTGGAGCTTTGCTGCGCTCTAGAGGGTAGTTAGGTGACAGGTGCGCCCATAGAGCGAGTGAACCAAGTTTGAGAGAGAGGAGAGGGAGATTGACTATTCTTTTTTAAAAGAGGCGGCGGCCGCACAGAATCAGAAACTATGTTTTATGTCCATGGCCATGCTGCTACTGTGTTAGAGAAAAGAGGTTTGGATATGGGAAACAACATGGGAAAGAGTACGAGTACTAAACAATGTTCAAAACCCCGACTCGGGGATCGGACTTGGCCCATGCATGAGCCAAGTTTGTGACTCGGCTTGAGTCGGGCAGGCTCCTCTCATGGCCAAGCAAAAAAGTATTAAAAAATAAAAAATATAAAGAGTAAAACAAAGGAGACATGTGGTTAAAGTAAAACTAAACAAAATGCATCTAAGTGAGGTTAAAAGGAGTAGTAAAAATTTAGATTTTTTAAAAAATCAACTTGGGAGGGAGGTACTTTAGAATGAATTCAAAAAGGGGAAAATATGGGTGTTTGCAAAGTCAGCCAAGATAATCGGGCTCGGGTCATTGACGAGCCTGGTCCAATTCAGGAATGTGTAAAAAAATTTATAAAAATAAAATTTTTAAAAAAATAAATATATTTGTAACATGTTTATTTATGTTTTCTATAATTATGCAAAGATTGGAAAGCATTTTGTCTACGAATACATATTTTTGCATTATTTCATCTTTTTGGATTTCTTTTTTTTAAATATCCCTGATCATAATCTTATTTTTTAAAATCTATTCTTTTGCTACTTTTTTAAACACAATTAATTGTGTTTTGTTAAGTTTTATTTTGAGTCTATTTTTCCTATTTTTTAGATTTATTAATTATTTTTTATTTTTTTTAATAGTTCAGGTGCGATATGGTACTCGGCATTACTCGGTTTGAGTTCCCGAACTTTTTCAACACTGGAAACATAAAAATAAATATTCATGCTCAAAATACTTTTCAATCTTTACGAAAATGACAGTGAACATATAAAAACATATTGCAAATGAATATTTCATTTTTTTGGATTTATTTATTTTATTTTGTATTAAGATCCCATGGTTCACCACCCAACTCGGGATACTTAAAATCACATGGGGCTCATGCAACATTTCCACAATAGGAGAGAAGTGTGTGTAAAAGGTGTTTTTTAGTAGGGGTGGCAACAGGGTCAGCTGGGTCCAGGTTCAGCCCAAAAAAAATATTATGGGGACCTGGACGTTGACTCGAACCCATCTTAATCCGAATTCATTGGATCCAAACTTAGAGCCAATTGGACTGATTAAAAAATAAAAATATCTATGTATTTAAATATGTTTTATAAATTTATTAAAGTTATATATGAATTATTTAAATGTTATAATTAAAATATGTAGTTATATTTAATTGAATATTATTTAAAGGATGAGGTTTTGATGTAGCTTAGGCTTTATGAAAACAAAATAAAGCCTCACCTCAAATATTTGTTTGGAAAGTACTTTCAACAATAAAAATCTCCATGATCGCTCTTAAATCAATTTTCAACACCGAAAATAAAATTTAAACCTTCAAAAATGAAAAAAAGATGTTGTGGATCTAAGAACAGTTGTTTTTAGGGTGAAATGGATGTTGTAGATAATTTGTTACCATATACATTATTTTTTGAGCTTGAAATTCTAATTTTTTTTCCACAGCCATAATGTTCGTGATAGATGTAAAGGTCTTTCAATTCTTGAATTGCAATTCTCGATGAGTTATGAGGTGAGGTTTTACTTATTTTGATAGGGCCCATCGTCATTAAATTATTTATTATTTAAATATCATATATTAAATATTATTTAAATACCACCGCTATTGAAATCGTGTCTACTAGGACTTGGATCTGGACCCGTACACAAATAATATTCGGGTCTAAAGTTTGGACCTGGATCCGACTTTTTCAGTCTAATTTTTGAACCTATACCCAAATCCGGATCCATCTATAGTCGGGTTTTAGGTCGGGTCCATTGACACCCGTCCATCTTGAGTCACTTCAGATGGTGAGGTTCAAACATTCAAATATTAGAAGGAGAAGAGGAGGCTTGAAATTCATTGCCAGGTATCATGATAAGACATAGAGGGTTTTACGGCGCATGGCATCGCATTTCAGTAAAAGAAGAGAAAGTGTTCAGTAGGGATCGCAAATGAATACGTGGCTCATCCCGTAAAACTGTAGATGCGTACTTTGTCTGGTAGCCAATGGTAGTGCAATTCAGATGCGCCCTCAACGTGGCTAAATGCATGGGAAGGAACTATGGGGCCCTCCTATAAAAGGACTACTTTCATCACCACATCACTCCACTTGTTCGGCCAACTTTCACTCTATACCATATTAATCTTCGAAAATTAGTGTACCACTAACTTTCAGCATTTCTTCTTATCATCGGCCTACAAAAAAGTGATTAAAAAATAGGTGGTCTGGGTTGGGAATCCTTTATCTGAATTGGTAATTGGTCTAAGTTGACCTGGTTCTTTTTCCGAATCAAGGTGTGATCTGAATCCTGCAGAGTCTTTTAGGTAACTAAGCGATTGGACTAGGTGGATCGCCCGATTCCCACATATTACGCCATCTTTTAGAAACATTATCTCTTTTTTGAAAGAATTGTGGTATTTTATTATTTTAGTGATATATCAACAGTCATACAGTTTAAAAAACTCCTTACAAAAGACAACCATGGACAGTAAGCCTTGCCCCATTCATTCCATCTTAATCGGATCATCTGCAAGTTCATGGGCATCTGTGTTCATATGTCCAAAAGAGGTCTCCAACGGATTATCGAGGTCCACAATTTGAAGCCAAATGGATTTCAAATTCTAATGAATTCTCTGCTCCCTCGTGTTCCACTTAATGATATTCAAGACTTCCTTTCCACTAAAATTATTCTTCCGTCTTACCTCTTATAAAATAGCTTCAATCCCTGCAGCAATGAACTTAACTTTACATGGTTTGCCATTGTAAACCCACACCGGCTTGAATAAGAGAAAAGGACATTACTCGTGCTCCTCTCATTCCAAATGGTCTTCGATTTCCAAAAGTGCTACTATCAAAATTTAATTCAAAACAATATATTGGAGAAGGCTCCCATAACCCTATTGAAGTCCCCCAAATTCACCAAAATATTCACTCTTGAAATCCCCCAACATTGTTTAGTTCACAAAGCCCAATTACATAATGTATTCGTGATATTGTTTTTGATCTTCTCCACATTCATTAAGATTCCATCAAAAATCTTCTATTTCTTTATTTTCAAACAGCTGCCTCGAAAGCTTTCCAAAATTTTCTTCCCACTTTCGGCAATCTAGGTAAGTTCAATTGCTCCAATATATCACTGCAAGCTCCAGGGATTGTTACATTTACTCCCATTTTCTAAAACACCCGTACCCAAATATTGTAAGTTATTATGCAATGTAGAAAAAAGATGATCACTACTTTCTTTATAACTTTTGCATATCAAACATATATTGACAAGGATCCTCCCCCTCTTCCTCAATTCATCCATGTAAGAGTCTCACCTTGCATAACTATCCACAGAAAAGCTTGTACCTTATGTGGAATTGGTTGTTTCCATAACTTATCCAAGGATGGCTGCAACCAAATCGCCCTATTATGAAAGTGTAAATGATAAACTAATTAAACTGAAATATAGCCATTATTTTCTCTTTCCCATTCAACCTCATCATCAACATCGGCAGATGTAAAAATATCGTTTAGTTCTTATAACAACTCCAATAGTTGTGTAACCATGACATATATAATTCGATTGTATCTACACAAAATATTTCAACTAATATTGAACTGAGAACCAATGACTAAACATGTCAACATGGTTGAATGGGTCGTTGATTAATGCAAGAAACTTTGGTGCATGAATCTTCAGTATTGAATCTTCCAACCATTTATGCTGCCAAATAAATGCGATCACCCTTACTACCACCCACCTTATGTTTCTCTCTGCTATCAGCTTACAATATAGAATTCCTTTCCATAGGGTAGATTGACAACTAGCTCCCTTTCCATTTGCTAATACAAGAATAGAATTTCTATACACACCACATTAAGCCTCTGATACTTTTGCCACAATTGATCTTTACTTTGAGTGTTTCTCCATCACCATTTAGTCATAGTTGCACGTCAATTAGTTGTAAATGTACATTCCCCAATCCCCCTTCCATGTTGGATGTATATACCTTCTGCCAGCTAATCAATTGATACTTCCTCCTCCTCTCAAAATATCCTCATTGGAACTTCCTCATCATCCTTTCCAGATCTTTTATTGTTGCATTAGGCATATACAATAATAACATTGTTATAAATAGGCAAGTTAGAGAGTGTAGATTTTATCAAAGTGATTCTACCCGCTAAAACTAGGAACCTAGCCATCAACAAATCCAATTTAACATGAAACCATTGAATAATTAGGTCAGGAACTGATCTCGGCAACCATGAACTTGAAATAGGCCTGAGCACTTTATGAGAATAACTTCGACCTAACACCCAATACAATCAACCAATGCTTCATTCAACCCTCTCTAGCATGCAACTCCTACTAGTGTTGTTTTATCTAGTTCACTTTAAACCACAAGGCCACTTTGCAACATCTCATAATCTTGAAAATTAACCACTTAGTCCATCTTAGCCTCACATAAGATAAGAGTATCATCTACAAATTGAAAAAACAAAATATTTAGAGCCCTACTCAATACCCTTCAAACCTTGAAAATAACATAATACTCTCCAATTTCTTAAGTATAGCACTGAAACCTTCTTCCTTCATTGTAAACAAGAATGGTGATAAAGGATTCCCCTACCTCACATTCCTAGTTTCCCTGAAAAACCTTTTGAACTTCCATTAACATTAGATAAAAATCTCTAATCCTCATTATCCATTTATCACCAAAACTCATTCTCAGCAAAATTTCTTATAATACATTACAATCTACTCTATCATATGTATTTTCTATATCACTCTAAAATAAGATACATGGTTTGTTCTCATGTTTTCCTTAGTGGATCCACTCTTGGGCTATGAAAGTACTATCTGTAATTGATCTATTTTGTATGAATGCCAAGTGGTCCCTTATAAAATCTAATGAAAATTGACGTTCTTACTCGCCAAAATTTTTGTAATGATTTTATAAAGGCTGGTCAGCAAGCTAATAGGTCATAGATAATT